CTTTGTCAGTATCTTTTAATTTAGTTTTATGAGAACCGACAAACACTTCTCATTTGTGAGCAATGAACGCGTTTGTTGATTTATTTTGTTTTGTATAGTTTTCAAAGGAGGGAGAAACTATTAGAGTTGTTGTGCTTTCCATTTCATGCACTTTACTAGTGGAGGCCAAATCGTCATCAGCAGATATGATTTTCCATTAATCATATCATAAACGAAATTAATATATCTGTTGCTTTCTTTTTCTTGCTAATCTTGCTCTTGGCATAACGTTTTCAATCTTTCTCTATCTGATTCAGAGCAAAGCTCCAAATGCAAATTTGGTGCTTTTACTGAACTTTTTGGGTCCTCCCACTATCTCTGCACCTCCAAAAAGTAATTAATAAACAATTAAGGTTGTGAAAGTTTACAAGTGGCCATGGCACTCTGGAATAGAATAATAGCATTAAGACAATATATTAAAGAAGAAGAAAAAAAAATACAGTTTTGTCTTTGGAAAGTAGTTATACAATTTTTTTTTTCTTTCGAATTATGTCATTATGTAATTAGCATTTTTTATTTATATGAATTATAGCCACAACAACATACAAATATTACTTTAATCTTTCATCATTAATGAGACTAGTGATTCGTTGGAAATTATATTATTGTAAGCCGACTTTACCAGAAACTTGTATTGGGCCTAAATATAGGAATGTTGTATTGGGCCGCATAAGGAGAAGGGAGGGTAGAAAAAAGTGGTTGGCGATGAGGAAGAGGAAAGTTAGTTGCTTATCCTAATGGTAAGCGAGAGAAGGAACAAGGAAGGAGGCGAAGCATGAGTAGTTATAGCTCCCATTCCATGCTTCTCCACAATGCTAAAGCAACCCCCTTCAATCTCCAGTGCCACCCCTCCCTCTCTGGGAACCGGCGCAGCGGCGTCTCAGGGGCTGGGCGGCGGCGTTACAGTGGGGTGCGGTGCTGCATGGAGATCGACATGGTGAAGAACCAGCAGGGCACATACGCGGCGAAGAAGGAGAAGGTGGTGGTGCTGTGGGACCTGGACAACAAGCCCCCGCGTGGGCCCCCCTACGACGCCGCCGTTTCGCTCAAGAGCCTGGCCGTAGGGTTCGGGGAGCTGGTGGAGTTCTCGGCCTACGCCAACCGCCACGCCTTCGTGCACCTGCCGCAGTGGGTGGTGGAGCAGCGGCGGGAGCGGAAAAGCCTGGACATCCTGGAGCGGAAGGGAGCGGAGAGGGCGTCGGAGGCGTACACGTGCGGCGTGTGCGGGCGGAAGTGCGGGACCCACGTGGAGCTGAAGAGGCACTTCCGGCAGCTGCACGAGCGGGAGCGGCAGAAGAAGCTGAACCGGCTGAGGTCGCTGAAGGGGAAGAGGAAGCGGGAGCGG